GACAAAATAGTGAGTAAAGAACACTGTATAAGGCTTGAAGGGACAAAATGGAGGATAGAAAATTACTAAGAGAGGAAAAACCAAAGAATAAATCCACAAAAATAGGATTGGAAAAAATGATTCACTAGTCTAGAAGAAATCATAACTATGAGGCAGAAAAGCACATCATGTAGCCCTTGGGTTATGAAAATTCAGAAATTATAATAGTCTTACAAAGACATATCACACCCATGGTAGCTATTTAACTGTATAAAAGTCAGAAATAATTGCAAGAAAATCTCATATGCTGAAGATATTCAATTTTAGTTCCATTAATTATATTTGTGTTTGTATATAAAAACGAATGTAGATAAGAATATTAAATAATCTGAATAAATGCATAAATCATGCAACTCAAATAGACTTATATATCAACATGCAAAATATATGGATATCATGCTCGATTCAATTTCTTTATAACCATAAGGATATTATTGCCTCCAAAGACATTAAATTGAGAGAAAATTATTAATTGGTTCACAATTATCAATTCAAACCAATTAATAGTTCAGACAGGATTCTCATCCAGTGCGAGGATTCTTAGTGAATTAAATACAGAGTTGTATCCCTCAAGCAATAATAATTCTACATTTCACGGTATTTCTACATAAAAACACTGTCTGGTTGAGTATCTAGATCCTTTCTTGATTTATTTCATCTGTTGATCACATCCCCATTCACTCGGATCTGCCTCCTTTTTCATTCATGATCTCACTTATCCTAGAGTACCAAACTACCAGAACAGTGCTTAAAAATAGTTTTTAAAACCATCTCAATTCTCTGGACTGCAGGTGCACCCAGTATTTAAATTCTCATTCACTGAGCCTCTATTCTACTCAGTGACCCTGTATACCTTGACACTTCTCATGGACCAAACCACAGCCATTGCTCCTACATCTCAGAATGCAATAGCTCCTAGCTGCTGTTTAGGAGACACAAACTGTGGTAAGGTTTACCGCTCTATTTCAAGTCTTCATCTCTAGCATCTTTTTAGCAGGCCCCCTGCTGCTTGGCCTATGGCACTAAGATCCAGCCCAGCCAGCCCAGTGTCATTCACATTTCCTAGTGCATGCCTTGTGCCTTCCCAAATGCTGGTGCCTGAGTTCTTGGAAAATTCCATATTTTTATTTTTAACTAGCAATTCTCTATCCTTACAGTTTTACATCAATTGTTTCCTCTTTTTAACAAAGGTTTAACCACAGTGTTTAATACCTGGCTCAATAGAATCCCCACTGGAATTAAACCCTACACTGCATTCTGGTAGCCTCTTATCTTATAGCTAAACCACCACGCAACACCAGCTTCCCAACTTCTTCAACCACAGAGAGACTACCAAACACATAGTGATTTGTGTAACCTAAATTGAAGTCAGTAATTGTTTCCAATTATGAACACTACCCCCCCCAAAAAAAAGCCAAATGTCAGGTCACCCACTCATGAGCCACTTGCCCTGGGTTCTGGAAAAATTGAACTTAGTTCCTTTATAAGAGCAACAAGTACTCTTAACCATGAGCTACCTCTCTAGCCCTCTACTTTATTTTTATTATGTCTATGTCAGAGGAGGGGTGGATTTGTCTGTGCCCAAGAGAGTAATACTGAACAAATTATTTTACTTTTTATTTTATCTTACTTGTTTTTTCAAGACAGGGTTTCTCTATGTAGCTCTGGCTATCCTGGAACTCAGTCTGCAGACCATATTGGCACCAAACTCACAAAGATCCACCAATCTATTCGTCCTGGGTGCTGGTACAACTGCCTGGCTAACACTGATTAATTTTAAGTGACACATTTCAAGAGCAACTCTCAAACGTTTTTAGGAAACCAATGTCTTATTTTCGGTGCATCATTGCTGTAAATCGGTTTTATCAGGGATAAGTTAGAAATGCAAGCTAAAGTTTGCTTTCACGCAAAACAAAAACCCAAAAAATAAAAACAAACAAACAAACAAAAATCCATACTGCTGTTCTCCACAAATACAAGTTACCAAAATTAGTTTATCCCACAATAAACCATCACACCCCGGGAACAGTCACTGCCCAGATGTGTATGCTACAGAAAGGAGAGACAAATTCAGGTGCCACTGGAAGAAACATACTTGTGGTAGTGTGGACATTTTCAACCAGCTCCAATTATAATAAGCACAGTTCTTATGATTCACAGTGTAAGAATCCTGACTACAGTTTAGAAGGGCACAGTGTACATAATGCAGATGTTTTGATGCCAGGCCAGAATTGCTATCCTTGCTTGACCTTTTGGGCCTCAAATCAGTAACAGGTCCCAACTACAAGAATAAAATTAAATTGAAAGAAGATTAAATTCATCTCATAGCCACAAATACCCAGTTACCATAAGGTCAGGCCACCTACTTATCTTTCTACCTGTCCTCCCATACATCCATCTGTCCATCCAAGATAATGTTATATACGTCAATACATTAGTCTATATTGAACACTTGCTTCATGTCAGATACCACACAAAATATTTTACACATATTAAATATCACAATTTTATAAGGCTGTTATTGTTAAGATATCCATGGGGCAGGGGGCAGGGAGGCCCCTCAAAGGAGGGCTCTACAGCTGAAAGCAATTGTTCCTCTTGCAGAAGACCTGGGCTGGTCCCCAGCACCCACACGGTGACTTGTAACAGCTAAACGAATGCAGACAGATTGTAACGAATGCAGACAGCTTTAATGGGGAAATAGACTTACAGAACCACCGTTCCAGCCCAGACCAGGAAAGCAGAAGTGAGCACTGTCAGCAAGCTCGCCAGATTTATAGGTATACATTAGCCCGAGGCAAACACGCCCCCTAAGGGGCGGGACTTATCCCTACAATGACTCACAACCATCCATAACTGCAGTTCCGGGGGATTGGACATCTGCCTCTGAGCTCCACAGGAACCAGACACACATGTAACACACATGCATACATACAGGATTAATTTCATATACATAAAATAAAATATTTTTTAAAAAATTTCTATTTTTTAGATGAAGAATGAAGCTTTAGATGTTTACGTAACTGTCTCAGTTCAAATAGCTAGAAGGAGTAAGATTTGAAGTCTGAAATTTTCTGACAGATTCTATACTCTGACTAGTTTGTGGTGTGCAAGAGCAGGATTTGTTTTCTTCAAAATGGAGAGGAAGTACCTGGCAATTACTGTATTTCCACAAAGGACTTACAGGGGTTTATTAAGGAAAATGTCAGATGGATTCATAAAACAAACAAATAACATCATCTTGCTATATTTTCACAGTATTTGTGAAACTGGAAATAGGATGGAGAAGCTAAATCTGAAGCACAGGAGCTGGCAAGGCAGATCCGGGCTCACTCTGAGGATTCCTTCTGGGCCTGGCAAATGTGCTCACAGTGGTGTCAAGGGCAGATACCAAAAAAGGCCCCAAAGGGAAATCTCAGTGGCCACCTGTCAATGTACATCCTTCTGCAAGAATGACAGATGAACACAAGTATTCTACTCAGCTGTAAACAGATACAGAAAGGCACAAAAAACGTGTGGCTTGGTCTCACATTTAGTATCAAGAAGGAAGGAATTCAGTGACTAAGATGTCACAAGTAAACAACCAGTCCCTCCAAGGAAGGAGAAAGGACTCCAAAGCCCACAGCATTGCACAACCAGATTCACAGCAAGGGACCAGCCAAGGCCCTAGCAGGAAAGCTTATGGACGGCCCTCAGCCAGCATGGCCAGTTTCACTACCTAAAGGATATATCTCACCACTTTGTTTTCTAATCAAACAAGAACACTAAAAGCTTTGAAAATTTTGTTCAAAACTCATACCATTGTGAAGGTCTTGCCAGAGACAGTAAATTCGGAGAGACTGGGTGATAGCTGAATTTGGAACGAAAAGGCAGATAAAACATTGCTTTCATTCCAAGGAGCTACCACTAAAAATTCAAGCTTGAAGCTCTTGTAGTTAAAATAACAAGGGTTGAATCAGAGTCTTTACAAGGCTTCACAAACAATCCACTTAGAAGCACCTGTGCCCTTCTGAGTTACCTCTAGGACTATTTTTTCCATCTCACACAACCTAAGAGCTGTCTTGATGGACGCTTGGGCTCAGGTACTAAGGGAAAACACTGTTGTTATAAGTTTGGTTTTGATCTCTTGATGTTATTGTTGGACATCTTAGTTTTAGCAGCCTCGAGAGTAAAATACTTGCTTTGTTTTCCTACTAATCGGCCAAATCCTGGTTGGCACGCATCATGCTGGCTTTTGCTAGAGTTCCTGCGTTGGTCACAGTTGATTAACTGAGGCTCCTAGCCATCCCTAAAAGACACAGCTACATGAAACTGTTAAAGAGTTTAAAGGTTCTGACCCTTTCCAATATCAGAATTTGAATTATAATTTCAAGTGTGTAAGGGAAACAAATTTCACTTCCCTCTTACAAGACAGCACATTTTCACTGCAGCTCAGAATTCCAAGAAGCTAAAACGAAATGTGTCCAAGTAAATATGGGTCATTTTATTCCTTCCAATGCCATGATCTTAGATAGGTACCTCTCTCCCTGAAGAATACCCTAAGAGTAAAAAGGTAATTTCAAGCTCAAAGATGCTGCCTCCTTGATTTTGCGGAAAATAGGGGAAAAAGTGAGGATCATAATCTTCAAATATGATGACTGGCATTCTGATAGAGATCAGGGAGCCCCTCAAGGTAACCCCATTTGTGGGGCTCTGAAGAATCTAGCTCATGATAAGAAGCCACAGGAGAGGCAAGTGAAATTTATAAGGAAGTCAATGAAATATATATATATATATATATACACATACATACATACATGTTTATAATTTCCACTTAAGTGAAGGCCGAAGAGGAGGAGAAATATTGTAATAAATAATGCCAAAATTGCACAGAAGCAAGGTCTTCTCTGATTGCAACAATTTAGCTCAGTACTTGTCTGGAGGCAGGTGCCCCCCCAAGGTACAGAGCACCTGGGCCTTACCTGCGCAGGTTTTCCCGTCGTAGGTCTGGCACACCCAGTCGTGACACTCACACAGCGGTCCGAAATAGGTGCCAGGTTCAGTCACTTGACAGATGCAGACCCCGCATTCGCACCGGCCACGGTCATGGCACAGGGCACCCCCTGGGGGTTGCCCAGGTACACGACATCTACGCTCGGACTCGGCCCTGGACAGCCTGCAGGGGGCGCCGGACAAGCTTCTGCATAAGATAAGAAAGGCCACACAGCCAGGCCATGGTCAGACACAGGACCCGCCCCTTCTTGTCCCAGCTCCCCCCCCCCCATTCTGTGGAGAAGAAACCTCCAGCATCATATTTCTGTGGGCCAAGCATGCCTCTGAAGGGCTGTGTTTTAACCATTATTCGAAACAGCACCTTCCAAGTAGATAGAAACTATGGCCCCCAGCTCCTTGGTGGATTGCCACTTAATCTTAAATGTACATTTTGATTAAATGCAAATTAGTCTGAAGTATGATATTTGGCTGGCTTTTTGTTTTTTTTTTTTCTTTTTAAAAATGCCCCGGTATTATCTAATAGCTAGGTGGAGATTATTTCATGAAAAAGAAGAAACAAATGATGAATATATAGAAAAAGTGGTATGTATCGTGTATAAGATAGGAAGAAATGCTTTTAAATTGTGTTTGAAGCAGACCTTAAATATTCTACTTTTTAAAAGTTGAAATGGAACTCGTTGTCTCTTTCAAAACGCAATACAAGATTTGACAGGGTCGTCAAGCATAATAGAAAGTGCTGTATTAGAAAGTGGAAATAAAGCTGCCTTGCAGGTTATTAGGTGACAGGTGTGCATAAGTGCATCTTTGACTTGAGGTTAGAAAAAAAAACTCCTCCCTTACACATATTTGCAGAGAGAGAGAGAGAGAGAGAGAGAGAGAGAGAGAGAGAGAGAGAGAGATGGTATTTTATTCAATGAGTATTCCTTTCCAAAGGGAAAAAAAACGAAAGAGAAGATATGAAGCAACATCAAGGCTAGATAGAAGGAGAGAAAAGGCGGAACAGGTTGAAAACAGTTTATCCCAGGTCCAACTTAGTAACTGGTCTTGGCTTAGGAAACTCAGTCATCTGCAAGCTTGAGTTCTGCCACGTACAGCACAGCGGGTCTGTCTCAAAGAAAAATAAACCGATCTTACCTCAGAGATGGTGAGAAGCTTTGAGGGGCAACTGACAGTCCAACGAAGAGAAGGGAGGAGACCAGCAACAACCTGGAGCCTGGGGGATGCATGCTGAGCTGAGGGTCTGTGCAGGCAGGAGGGCAGGCCAGCTGCTCTGCCTGCCGCAAGGTGGGGCTTTCACGGGAGGCAACAGGAGGGAGAAGTGTCACCAGCAGATGTCCAGGCAGAAGGACTTGGGACACCCGAACTCGCAGGTTCTGAGCTCCTCCTGGAGACTCACTTGCCTGTGAGGACTTGGGCAGTGGAACGGCTCTGGGCGGGGAGCTAGTGCCAAACTCCTCCAGTGGAGAGTCTAGGCAGGGAAGTAATTAGAAACAGTTGTACAAGCAGATGGGTTATTTTGACATTTTAAAAAAGTGTCCTGTTCACAGATTTGGGGGAAAGAAATTACGTCTTTCTTCAAGTACAGGCCCCAGAAATATTCAAAAAGAGAATATTTGGGGTAGCTGATAGGAAAGGCACTATTAAAATAATTCCTGGATTATAAAAATGAAGGGGAGGCTTTTGGGTGAACACAGCAGGGAATCGCTTTCACCAACTTTGTAAAAGATGCCCAATGGCAGTGTGAGTGGATGCAGGCAAACAAAGCTAGCAAACATAATTCTTTATATTTATTAACCTTTGTTTTTAACCATGGTTATTTTATTCCTTAAGTATCTAAAAAGTGCATTTTTTCTTCCAGTTATTCAAGCCAGTTTCTTATCACAGCCACATTTTTTTCTTGACTTGGACAGTCCAAATTAAGGTTGTTCCAAATCCACCCCATTCTCTTTTATGATTTCAGTGTGCAGAAACAAAATAAAATATCTATTTACAGCGTGGTTTGCACTAACAAGAAAACAATCAGTGGCATTTCTTAGTCACCTACTCGGTGCCAGCCTGTAATATTAGTTCTGATTGTGAGAATGATCACACATTGTTTGCTAATTACATTTCTATCAGGCACCAGTCTCTGTGCCAGATGGAAGAAACATAGGAAGGGCAAAGGAGACATACCCCTTTCTGGGAAAGAAGAGGACAAGGAAGCTGTCAATCAAAACAAAACCACCAATTCCAAACAACCAGGGGTTGCAATGGAAAGTTACTTCCTGATTGGATACAGGAGCCAATCACAACTAAGAGGGCAGGAGTTGAGCTGAAGAGATTAGAGATATAATTTTATTTTATTCCTATTTTAAAAATAAAATAAAAAAGACAAGATCAAAGAAATAAACCAATTTACTAAAACTCACAGGGATTTTACAGTGTGATTTCAGCTTGAAAGACCCTACAGCTAGCATGCTCCCGGGGAACGTCCTGTTTGCTTTAAAAAAAAAAAAAAAAATTCTCCGGATCAGCAGCCAGCCTGCTCTCGTAAGAACATCCCATGTGCTTGGGAGAGCAGGATGTCTATGAGATAGGAAGACTGCAAGGCAGGATATCAATAAGATAGGACATCAACAAAGCAGGTTGACTGCAAAACAGGATATCTATAAGATAGGAACAGGATGACTTTTGCTGACACCCATGCTGAGAGAGGAAACCATTCATGCCCCCCCACCTCATTCCGATAACCACGCTTTTGCTTCTGTAAACTTGCTTTTTGCTCTTCCCTATAAAAAGCCCGCCCTCCAGTCAGCAGGCACGCAAGTCCTCCGAAAGACTTTGCTGCCTGCAGGTACCTGTGTTTACCCAATAAACCTCTTGCGATTTGCATCCCTGTGGTCTCAGCCTGTTCCTTGGCATGGGGAGGTCTCCTCCCGAGAGAAGGACCTCTTCGAGAGTCTTTCAAGCTGAAAACTGTGGGACCCTCAGTTGTTCCCATATGGTCACCCATGTTGTATGATCAGTTGGGGGAGTATGCAGGAAGAAAGGCTTCATTCATCCTATAAAGAGTACTTTATGTATAATAGCTCCTCCTGATATTGATGATCCCTAGAATGGCTCCATAAGCCTTAAGGTTAGGCATAGGCTCCTACAGGCTAGAATTTCCCCTGACATCTAGGATATACAAGCGGAGAAGGGGGCAACACTTCCCAACACGGCCTGCTGGATCAAGAAGGAATAGAGATGCCCTTTAATCCCTTTTCTGCTTCTCCCTCTGGTTGCATCTGCACCAAGAGGAGCTTTGCATATTTGTCTGCAAAGAGCTGACTTTTGTCAGTCCTTACATCCACCAGAACAGACCTAGAATAGGTATACACTACAGGGAGTGGGACTGGAGGCTTTCTGAGGGGAGAATTTTGAGATATTGGTACCAGAGTGTGACACGCAGGTTGGCAGGTTTCCTGGATACCTGCTCCTCCTGTAGAGAGGGGTTAGTTTGAAATAGAGGCTCATGTGAGTTCAGTGATTGAGAGACAGAATGGGAATCTGGGTACAAAGTTTGGTCCATAGACTAGTAGCATCAGCACCACTGGGAACTTACCTGTAATGTGTTGGGAGCTGTGAACCCCAGATCCTGAGTTTCTTGTAAACTACTTGTTTTCCCCTGATCTGAGTGCCTACAGCTGCTCTGAGCACGAGACCTTCAGGAGTTCCTGATGGCAGGAGAGTGGTTTCTGTTGCATTTGGCTGGGGCGTGGCTATCCCTATATAAGCGGCCCCTGGACACAATAAGTGGTCATTCTTGGGGCATTCTGACTTCAAGGATGACCTGTGGCTCTGTCTGTGTGTCTGTCTGTCTTTGTGTGTTTCAATATCCAGTCCCTTGCCCGGTTCACGAACTCTATGGTGGCGGATAGAGCGCAGACAGGCGTCGTGCGTTGCAGAAACGCGCCTCTTTAGGCTTCTTCATCAAACCTACTGAAGCACAGAGTATGTTTCACGGGTATTCCCAAGAAATCTACTTTATCAAAATGAGTAGAGAATCCTTGCAATGCTGAGGCTAAGGGTGTCTGGATACAGGAGTGGCCTTCACACTCCTAGTACAAGTTTTACGATTACATAGCTTCCCATTACAATTGAGACATGTGGATAGGCTTTCCAGCAAACATCATAGAACCTCTGTGATGAAGGGAAGTGGAAAAACATAGAATATAAGCTTCTGTCCCAAAGCCTGAGGAGGAAATTGCAGTGAAAACATGAAGCATTAATGTTAACCATTTATTTACCTCTTCTGCATTTCTTTTTCCTAAGGGGAAAAAGACATGTTATAGAATGGAGAACTGATGTTTGAACATTTTGAATATTTATTTATGGTGTTTTGAGGCTATAGTTTTCTCACTCTCATTTGGTGTAAAATGCAATTGTGTGTGTGAGTGTGTGAGAGAGAAAAAGAGAATTATTAGAAATATAAATTTTCAAACTCTTCTCCCAGATCAATGGAATCATTAAGCATATTTAAAAGATATCCCAAGAAATTTACTTGTACCTAATAATGAGAATACAAATAATTGAACCTAGAGCCTTAAGCATACTATACAGAAATTCTGCCACCGGGCTACATCTGCAGCCCTCTTGTTTTGAGATAGGGTCTCACTGAATTGTCCTAGCTGAGTACATTTTACGACCCTGACCTGCCTTAAATATGTGGTGCTTCTGTCTTCGCCCCCAAGTTCCTGGAATAAAGGCTTGCATCATTGGACCCAACCAGTGTTTCAGAGTGTACAGCTGTGTAGTATAATATGTACGAAGTGACTGAGAAGATTTGGAATTATGGACCATTGCATTACAGGACTTCAGAAATTGTATTACCTCTATGTTGAAAAGCTCTTTTGTGGTTGACCAAGGGACTTGATAAAACGTCTTAGAACCATAAATTCTCTGTCAAAATACAACAGTAAGTTCAAGTTGGCTTTCGCTTTCTTTTTCCTGCTCAAGTAGTAAATGCCACTTCCTTGTCCCCTTTCCTTTGTACAAATGTTCTATGTTCCTGATTTTTACACATGAAGAAAGACCCTGAGTCAGGTAGAGGAGAAAGCCATAAAGAGGATCAGTAAACTCGCATATGTGGAACTGTATTCAAAGAGGTTTAAAATATCTCAGTCCTTGATTTATGTGCTTAAATCTTTGGACCACAAAACCATAGAATTTAGGGATTTAATAAATTTCTTCAGACTGCTTGCTTAAAAATTAAACTTGCTATATTCCGTTAGAAAATAATAGTATTTGATTTTCCGCTGGACCAATGATCTATCTGGTATCAGATTTTTGTACATCTTAATAGTGTCAGGTATGGATCTGATCTCATGAAGGGGTTCTAAAATCTACACATATATGCCCTACCAAACTAAAAACCAAGGTGAAATTAGCATCTTAAACATACCCATAATCCCCAGTGAAATAGAAACAATGATTAAAAAATCTCCCAACCAAAAATAAAATAAAATCCAAGGAATACTTTTTTCAGCACAGAATTCTGCCAGACATGGAAAACAGAATTAACACTGATGTTCCTCAGATTGTTCTACAAAACACAAACTGAAGGAACAGTGCCAAAATCTTTTCAGGACGCCAGTTTTATCCTGTTACCAAAGACACATATATAGAGAGAGAAAGAAGAAAAAAAGAAAGAGAGAGAGAGAGAAAGAGAGAGGAGAAAGGAGGGGAGGAAGGAATGAAGGAAGGAAATTAGCAATATTTCTCTTTAAGACAAATAGGATCTTGACTTACACAGCAGAAAATAATTTCATCATGAGTCAAGTTAAAATAAAATTCAAGTTTATTAAGAAAAGGATGGCAGTGTACCGCTAAGGCATAGATTTTGACTTCTTAAGAAAGAAAAAGGTGTTTAGCTGTAAGGTAGGAGCATAAGCATTGTGTGGGTGGGTGTGTCCTACGTGTGTGTTCCTTATTTCTGTATGTGGGTGTGTTTTGTGGCTTTGTGATATTTCACAAAGAACACAGTCTAAATCTAATTTTAAAAGATTGAGTAAAAAAATGTTTTGATGCTTTCTTTCAGCAAGAGATAATAGTGAGATGTACAGGTTCACATGAGAATGCGATAGAAACAGGTACAGCAAGGTCAAAGGGTCCTTATGACACATAGGTCCCAAGGAAATCCAGGCATGTATTTTGACATAAAGTTTCACTCATAGTTCCATTTGTAAAATTTTTCTCAGAAAAGGAGATACAGATAGTCCCTTCGCAGGCTACTTCCAAACTCCTGACTCAGCTGGTGCGAATGTTACATCACATCCAAGGAAATAGTCTTCTCTTGTCTTTCTCAGACACCTTTAATTCCCCCTCCTTCTATCTATTTCAGGACAAAGAACTTTAATATAACCCTGACAGCAGTGTGTTATTTGACTTTTATAAACTATTTTAAAACCATGAACTGGGTCCACTAAGTACTGC